CCCACCTTTGATCTGCCACAGTCCTGCTTGTGTTTACAAACATTCAGCGCTCCCCTTTGTCCCCTTCTCTGTTGTGAATGGGCTAAAAAGTTTGTAGATACTGGAAGTGTTTATACTTGTGATGGCTGTCATTGGTTCACAGCGATCACAAGGCATAGAGCCACTCTGATTGGCTCCATACATTGTGACTGTGATCTGAGCTGACCAGTGACAGCTCGATCACAGCTATTCACGGGCACCCTTGCTTGTCATATGTGTGTTTTCTGCTCCATTGTTTATAAACGGCGCTCCAGAAAATAACATGCACCTCTCCAAAAATTTTTCGCTGGTCCCCCTCGCCGTTTCCCATCAACACCCGTGATGTCGGTCCCGGACTGCCAGGATTGGAAGTGGAGCCCTGGAAACAAGGCAGGGTTGTTGGGCGTGGTGGGGGGGACCCTGTTCACTGGCCCCTGGAAGTGGTCTGGCAGCCGACAGTCGGTTTTACAGAGTGCTCTGAAGCCAGTGCCGTAAGGGACAACTTTCATCATTAAGGGTTTAAAAAGATGCCGTGGTTCCTTCCTCTGATCCCTGCATCAGTTCCGGACTCTCTAGTGACATAGAGTTTGGAGGATGGAACTAGAATGCACATCAGAGGGCTCCCAGGAGTGTTGATTGCCAACGAGAGTGACAGAGGCTGCAATGGTGGACTGAAGGAAAGGAAGACTCTGGCCCCCGGAGAAGTGATCACACTACTGTACCTCTTCTCTTGCATATTGAATATCCTTTTGAAACCAGATTTTGGGAAAGACGTCTTATACCTCCCAATGTGTCAATGACCTGGATTGCATAACAAACATGACTTTGTGGGATGGAGCTCAATGGTGTCATTCTACTACAACATTACTCACACTTGGTAAACTCGAGCCAGTTTCTGTTGGGAAACTTCAGCATTGAGTCATGTGACCTCTCATCCAAAACCACTTTTACTCACACAATGTCCCGTTTCGAGTCCTCATGCCGTAGCCTGAAGTCGGGGAGCCCGCACACCTGCATGGAGAGGCGGCTCTAGACTTGGCGAAACTCAAATGTGAGGCCCCCACTTATACCCATAATGGGAAAAAAAAGCAAGAAATGGGACACGGGACGCGGCGAGCAGGGGTGGGACACAGAGAACAAGGGTGGGACGCGGAGTGCAGGGGTGGGACGCGGAGTGCAGGGGTGGGACGCGGAGTGCAGGGGAGGGACGCGGAGTGCAGGGGCGGGACGCGGAGTGCA